GAGGACCTATCCACGTCATCATTTACCCAGAATGCTTTGTGTGAAAATAAAATGGCTCTGTCCGTGTTAAAATATATTTTTAAAAATTTACAAAACTAAACGGTTTTACAGTTAAAATAAATGTTTATCAAATAAAGTCTAATGTTACAACTAATCAGGGATCCCTAGAGTTTTTTGGACCCAGATAATAAAGAATTACAGTAATCCAGTCTAGATGTGATAAATGCATGAATCAGTTTTTCCGCATCATTTTTGGACAAAATTTTAGTGATATTACGCAGGTGGAAGAAGGCGGTCCTGGTAACATTTTTAATGTGGGGGTTAAAAGACATATCCTGATCAAAAATAACACCAAGGTTCTTTACGTTAGAACTGGAGGCCAGATTAATGCCATCCAGAGGAGGTGAAAGGCTGCAAAGTTGATCCCTAAGATGTTCTGGTCCAAAAACCATAACTTCTGTCTTATGTTCTGTCTGGTTTCATGTTTTATTTTGATTTTATTCTGATTTTCTGTTATGTCCCTCTGTTGTCCTCCTGTCTGCCTTTGCTCAGCCCCTATCACTCACACCTGATCCTCATRCTTCTTCCCCAGGTGTTTCTTGTTTTAGCTCATTAGTTCTTCCTTTATATTCTGTCCTTTGTCCTTAGTGTTTGTCAGATCCTTGTTCTCTGTTTACTGTTGATGTCTCATGCCAAGCCAAGTATCTTCTTTGCTGCCACGTCTGCGCTTTTGTTTTTTTACTTTAATAAACCCTTTTTTTCAACTCTTTTTGCCACCCTCACTCAGTCATCTGGGGTTCAAACCAGTCGTAACAGCTTTTCTGAGTTTAGAAGCAGAAAATTAAGAGTCATCCAGGTTTTTATGTCTTTGAGACAAGATTATAGTTTAAATAACTGATTAGATTCATCAGGTTTCGTGGATAAATAACCAAGTATCATCATAAATTATCACAAATGCTCATGTGCATAGTGAAGCCTAGCTCTTCCAGGTCCCAGGTCAACTGGATAAAAGCTGAAGTTACTTTATGAAAACACTATTTAAATTCTGCAAATTCAATAAGCTCAAAAAGCATCTTTAGATATTCATGAAAAATCACATCTGCGATCCTAAAGAAAAGTTTAACACAAATCAGTTTAGAGCAGATGCAGGGTCTGTATAACTGTGTAAATTGACCTGTTGAATTGTGCTGTTACAATGGTGTTTCTGTAGCAATCTCAGCTTTTTCCTTATAAGTGTCAAGTCGGCCCGCTTCATGCACACTTGTGATCATTTCTAACAAGGAAATGGTCCATTCAAGGCCCTCTGGAAGTAGTCTGAGTGAAACCATTTTCAGTCACATTAAAACCATTCACACCTGTTTATTCAACACCATCTGATTACAGTCTGATCACTCAGGATGAAGGTGAGCATCAGGTCCATGTCACACACACACACACACACACACACACACACACACACACACACACACACACA